AAAAAAACTTTGTTAGGGTCTTTCAAACGACTTGCCACAGGGCTTCCAGTTTCATCATTGTCTGTGTGTTCGGGATACAAGAGAAGTCAGCTTTCGGTTTGATGTGATGGGAAAGGTTCTGAGGAGAGACAGCAGTGACAGCTGCACAGTGCAGGGGAAGTAGGTAGTGGCACCTCATTGCACACTTGAATGTGACTTAAACACGTGTAAGTATGCATATGTGTGAATAGACATGTACACTAGTGTGTGCGTATTTGTAGTCATATATACTGTATATGTCCTAGCGCGCGCGCGCGCGCGCGCACACACACACACACACACACACACACACACACACACACACACACACACAGGTACCAAGGTTTTGTTTTGTTCTGTTTCCTGCAGAGGTGTATTTTCTTTTTCACACCAACCAGTTTCCCCTCCCTCCTCTCCTCTTGCTCCCTCCCCCAACCTCCTTCCCACCCTCCCCCGGGTCCACAGTTCAGAAAGGGCCAGGTCTTCCATGGGAGTCAACAAAGCATGGCATATCAAGTTGAGGCAGGACCAAGGTCCCCTCCACCCCCCAATACCAGCATCAAGGCTGAGTGAGGCATCCCACCATAGGGAACAGGTTCCAAAAAGCCCAGCTCATGCACCAGGGACAGGTCCTGGTCCCACTGCTAAGGGCTCCACAAACAGACCAAGCTACACAACTGTGACCCACATGCAGCGGGCTTAGGTCAGGCTCATGCAGGTTCCCTGGCTGTCAGTCCAGAGTCCGTGAGCTCCCAGGAGCTCAGGTCATCTGTCTTTGTGGTTTTCCCTGTCATGACCTTGACCTAACCCCCTTGCTCGTATAATCCCACCTCCATCTCTTTGGCTGGCCTCCTGGAGCTCGGCCAGTGCTTGCCTGTGGATCGCATAGGTGTATTTTTAATTCCCATATTTGACTGTCTTAAATAAGTGACCACATTTCTTTTCAATTGGTCTAAGAAATCTAATATTCTGGATACTGGTAGTTCCTATACACCATGGAAGAAAGTCACCTAACAAGACTTGTCATCTTGCATGACTCTCTCAGAGGGACAATCTTTGACTCACAGTCCTTTCTTCTTTTTCGTTATCTGGGTTTCTCTGAACATGAACTTCAAAACAATTACATTTCTAATAGGACTAAGAATAATAGTTTCAAAGCTGTGTTTCAACTATTTTTTCTACAATCGCTTTGACCTATTGTTTAAAGATTTCATCTAAAGTACATGGTGGATACAAAGGTCACACTGCTTTCATTTGGTGCAGCGGAGTTGACCCTCTAGATTTCACAGCGGTCTGTAAAATAATAACAGGGACCCAGCGGTCCAGTGCATCCCCAGTTGGCATTCTCGCCGTGCCCTGCTGTTTCCCCTGGAGTAAGCCGTGTGCTTGGAAGGGCATCAAGTCTCTCAAGTCACCTTCACTCACCATCTCTATTAGAAACAAGTAATTTCATACTTAGGAGATGCTCTTCACAAAAGCTACTCCCCCGCTGAGCATCTTTAATTTCCCAAATTACCCTTATGTTCTGAGTATACAGCCTCATCTAAGGACCAGGTCTTCAGTTTACCTGAGAGTTTGTGTGACTCCAGAGTGAACATAGGAACAAAATAAGCACACATACGCAGCTTTGTTTTGTTTATTCTTTCATTTTGTTAAGAAGAAAAAAGCAAGAAGTACTGATTCTGAAGATCAAGGTGGAATTTTATACTTTGCTTCCTTATTGCTGTGAGACCTCTGCCCTGTCACTCAAAGGGTTTTGATTGATGCATGGATAGATCAGTCTAAGCTATGATTTAAAACCTCATGATCAGTGTCATGTGGTGGAGGCACACGCCTTTAATCCCAGCACTCGGGAGGCAGAAGCAGGTGGATTTCTGAGTTCGAGGTCACCCTGGTCTACAGAGTGAATTCCAGGACAGTCAAGGCAACATAAAGAAACACTGTCTGGAAAAATAAACAAACAAAATAATTCAAGCCTCATGATCAGGTCCGAGATTTTTTTTACTTCAAGCAGCACTGTGCAGTCTGTCGTCAGCTCGCTGGCTCCCCTTTGATGCTGTTATCATTTCCTTTTTGTTTCCTTGCTTAATGTGGTTCCTGGCTGGTCACGTGATGAAAGCCTGTGTGACATAGAGCCTGGTCACAAGATTAACTTACGTGTTCTTCTGAAGTAGATAGGGTGGGGCTGAGCTATATAGCATGACTCTGACAGAACTTTGAAAGCTTCTGACTTGCTAGCCAGGTTTCATTCTTGCATATCTTCTTGTTTGGTAGTAGACTCCTCTCTCCAGCCATGTTCAGGGCTTTATAATCTGCAGTATATGTCTTCTGAAATGCAAACCACAGCCATGGTCAGGGCCGTGCTGGGGTTTGGGTTAGTGAACACTAATGACCGTTCATCACTAAATGTGCTAGGCATCCTTCTTAGAGTTACTGGAATCTCAGGCAATTCACCACTTCCATGGAAAGAAATAAGAACCCTAGACTTCCGTACAGCCTGGGAAGAATGTTAAACCCTGAAATACACAAGCCACATGAAATACTACAGAAGCAGTGTTAACAGTAAAAACAGAAAACATAGAAGTCACAGTCCTTTGTGCAAGAGTTTTGTTCTTTGCTCTGTAATTTATGAAACAAGACCTTGAATTCATCCTGAAACCTATTACAATTGCACCAAACCCTCAAATTCCCAAGTCCTATTGAAAAAACAGGTTGACTTTGATATATTATTTAGTTTTTTACCTGCTCGGCTCAAAAACATTACAAGTAGTTGATACTAAATATCTACAAGTGGGAAATTTTTGCTTGGCACTAGGCAGTGGTCTAGTATTCTAAGATATATTGAGTAAAAGCTGTGCAACAGAAACCTAGCAGTTAATGCCACGTGCTTTATTCTGATGATGTTCTAAGTGTTTCGTGTGTGCAAGCTTGTCTACTATATGATAGCTTCACTATTCCTAATTCATCTGTAAGGCAAGGAGCTTAATACACAGCTAGCCCAAATAAAAAGGTTATACATTGACTCAGTGAGACTAGACCAGGGTCCCTATCACAGGAAAAGCCCTGTTCCTAGGTACTCCTGTGCCCTTTATCTTTGCCTGATGAGTATTGGTTTTAACTTTAAATTGAACAACTTGGACAAATCATAAAACCAAGGCCTCTTGCAAAACATGTGCAGTGTTTTTATTTATACTCAAAGCCCAGCCTGCCATAAAGTCCAGGTGTGCCCCTCAAACACTAGGCATCAATGTCCCCTATGGTCATTAGTGAGCATGGTTAGTCAGAGCATCTTTTCCTCCCCTGAGAAAGATGGCCAGAGATCTTTAGATAGAATTTAGATACAGACCTGGAATATTGAGTGGGGGTATGTATGTGTATATGTATATGTATATCTATATGTGGGGTAGAGTAGAATGGAGATTTGTCTCTTTTCTCTTCAGATTCACTTGTGCTAAATGAGATGATTGAATATATACAAATGTTTAGTGAACTGTGTTTGTGACTCATTTTAACTAACTAGTCTCGAAAGTCATTATTGTCAGCTGGCATTATCTATTGAAAGTGAGAACATTGATGACTTTGTTACACTTTCAATTTTTGAGGATTGGGACTCATATCATAAATGCAATGATATGCTAAATTTTGAATATCAATTCTGATCACAATAACATCAGACTACCTGATTTTATATACTTTTATGTTGAATCAGAACCTATTGTATGTGTGTCATTAAGTTTTGAGCTCTGTCTCAAAGTAAGTGGTTACTCTTCCTGGTGACTTGTATATCTTGTAATTTGTACGTCTTAAAAGATTCATGGCCAAGGATTGTTTAGTAGCAATTGTCCTAAGGGTGCAAGGACTGACTGCCAAGCTATATAAAAGGAAGCTTTTATAGTTTGGAAACTGTGTGTAGGCAAGCGGTATGTTTGTCCTAGAGTTCTTACACCTTCCCCTTTTCATATCTCAAGACTCCTCAATAGAATGTGTCAAGGTCAAAAACATAAAGTGCTAACCAGGGAACCCCAGGGAAAGCCAAGATCTGAAAATAACATCTGGCTTTCTAAAAGTGAAGGCCCTGCTGACTTGGCAACTTATATTATTGTGGTGCTCTTTGGAAAGCCAGGAAGTCCTTGGAAGGTGAAGGCAGGAAACCACAGGGCAAGAACAATAAAAATGGAAGTGGTAAGTGTAAAACAAGGAGAGAGAGAGAGAGAGAGAGAGAGAGAGAGAGAGAGAGAGAGAGAAGAAACAGAGAGGAAGGAGGCAGGCAAAGGGAACAAAGACTGAAATAGTTACTTGGTGTTAGAAAATAAGTATAATTTTCAGCTGACTTGAAACTTCTGCATTTTGAAGAATGTATCTCAAAACTTACTGGAGTTAAGCATTAAGCTTTAATACTACCCTTCTGATGCCCAGTCTCTGCTAAAATGGGATGTATAATTGTTGCTTGAAGTGCTTTAGAGTAGCATGATACAGATGTGCACATGAATGGAAAACATAATTGCAAAAGTACTTGCATGTGACCTTAATGACAAGATGCAAAGTTTTTCTCCCAGTGTATTTCAGACTTGCTGCACTAGAAAATCTAGCTGGACTTACTTAGCCTTGAAAGATTTGGGGTTCATTCTGATGGCCAGGGAACTCTGTCTGTCATTTCTCTTGACTTTGCATCTACTTTTCTTGATTTTAAATAAAGAAAAGTAGAATTAAAACAATATTTAGAATTTACTATAAAACCATTAAACCGTTAATATTGTTTGAATCCCATAATTTATAATGATTGTTGTGCATATCATCCCCAGTTTTATAGTGGCTTACAGACACATCCTGTCTAATAGAGATATCTTAATATACGCTTCAAAGCAATCACAGAGAATGGTATATTCTCTGTCAGCCCTTTTATCATATGAAAAAGTCTAAAAGCACATGCAATTATTTTCTGCCTCTCCATCCTGCTTTTTTTTATGTTTTTGCTGTTACAGCGGAAAATGGCCCCCGTCTCCTCGTGGAAGCAGAGCAAGCCAAAGTCTTCTCACACCGAGGTGGCAATGTGACACTGCCATGTAAATTCTATCGAGACCCCACAGCCTTTGGCTCAGGCATCCACAAAATCCGCATTAAGTGGACCAAGCTAACTTCAGATTACCTCAGGGAGGTGGATGTCTTCGTTTCCATGGGCTACCACAAGAAGACCTACGGCGGATATCAGGGCCGAGTGTTTCTGAGGGGAGGCGGAGACAATGACGCCTCCCTGGTAATCACAGATCTCACTCTAGAGGATTACGGAAGATACAAGTGTGAGGTGATTGAAGGTCTAGAAGACGATACCGCTGTGGTCGCATTGGAGTTGCAAGGTAGGTATTCATGAGGCATGTTAAACTGTAAAGTGATAATTAGCCACTACCCCTTTGTTTTCATGAGGATAGCGTGTGGTGGTTCCCATAGTAATAATGTGAGGACCCAAAAGTCTATGCCTAGCAAATTTTTATTCTTTTGTGTTTGGCAGTCTGCATATAATTTCAGCTTTCATGTTTGAGATGTATGCACAATACTTCTATGCAAAATTGAAGCTATTTACAAGGAGAAATGTGCAATGAAACTGAATTAATAATTTTTGGAAATAGCCTTATGCCATTCAAAACTTAAAAGCCATTTTTTAGTTGTTGAGAAATTCAAATTAGATTCTTTTTTATTTGCTTCTAAAATTATCTCCATTTCAAGCTAATGGTAAGATTTGTAAAGGACATCTGCAGTGCAATACATGTAATTGTATTCTGTAAGATGGCTATAAAAGTTACTTTAGCAGAAAAAGTAACCTCTGGGTTTACTTAAATATTCTTGCAATGAAGTAATTCTTTTAATGGTCTAGGGTCTTTTAGACACCAAATATCAAGTAATAGAGGTATTTTGGGAGGATTTCTGTTTTTTTAATATATTACACTCAGTAGGTTCAAAGGTGGACATGGCTACACAAGAGAACATGTCCATCTTCCTTCTCGGTCATCACTCTAGGAAAAGGTCTGTGCTGAGAGTTTCTCATACAGGTCAAGCCGCCTTAGTTTCACCCGTGTTCTACACCGCAGAGTGAAAATGGCCTCATTAGTAGGACCGTTTCCCTCACAGAATCACAGATCTGTGTTTGCTGGAAGCTTTTATCCCCGCCCCCCTAGGACACATTTGTGGCTTTTGAAAATGCTAACACTGAACACTGGCCCTCCTGAATCTCTCAAGGGTTCATCAGCATATAGAGAGTCATTGGTTTCATCTCCCTCATAAAGTCCAACGTGAAGCTCCATGACTTCAGAACACATATTCTAACTCTAAAGAAGTTCAGTGAGATGGATAGACTGTTAATGAGATGTGGGTCTAGTTAATCCTGGTATGGGATGCTTTTTATCTTCAACTTTTTTTTAAAACAAAGTTAATAATTAAATTTTTACAGAAAATAATAAAATGGTAACAAAAGGCATGTGACTTTATAAAAAGATTGTATGACATTATGTTAAAATAGAAAGCAACTTAAATATAAATAAAGTATAGTGGATTTGGAACTGAACCAATCATATTGCAGATAATCTAGGACTCATGGAAACTTTTTCACTGCCCATTAGAAGCACCGTGACACATGACAAATGATAGTGAGTTTAAATCTGAATGATTTCCTGGGTCTTTAAAGTCATTACAAATTTAAGTATCCCACATTTTCCACTGTTTCCATCATGAACCCTTTGGAAAAGAAAAGGTCACACAAATAGTTTCTATCTACAGATAAAGATGTTGGGAGGTTCTCTGCCATCTGAGTTCCAGCTACCAAGAGAATCATTGCACTATAGATTATTTCCCTTCTTGGGCACACACCTGGGATTGCTCAGTAAAGAGAAGAAACGACATGGGGTACAGAGAGCTTGTCACACTTCTGTTCTGGGGTACACAGTGGCCCCAGTTGGGTGGGGGCTGAGCATCCTTAGAACCATCTCCAGGCTCTTCTTCCCCCTTACCACAGCAGGAGTCTACGGTTTTCCTTCTTCTGTTGGCTCTGATCCAGCTGATGGACCCCTCAGCCAAGAACCTGAGAAGGCAGAGTGAGATCAGAAAGCCTTCTTGGATCCTCGCCTGTGGTGACCTGGGCCAGCTGGACTGGTCTAGAGGCACAAGGGACGAGACTTGGTTTAAAGCCTCAGAATCCTCCTGTAGAAACATCCAGGATAATTTAGAAAAGAACACACTGGCCATGGTTGGTTGTTAGGGACCTGTGCATCATCTTGAATAGAATGTGCAGTTTTGTAGCATGCAACTTAATGGCCATACAATTAGTGGGCCAGTGGGACAAAGTGCCTGCATTCCATGTGCTAAGATACTGAGTAGTTGGAATAATATTTCTAAGAATGCTTGCTCTGGGTTATCTTTTATGGGGTAGACACTTTGACAGATGTCTTCCTTAATATGCAGTAAATGACACAATTCTGGATACTTATCCTGGGAATCTATCCTTAAAAAAAACCATGTGGGATGTGAGACAGCTCAACCCCTCACCCCAATAAGGATTTGACCAAAAGAAATACTTTTGAGACACAGTCAAATACCAATCCATGCTCTTTGCATTTACTAAGGGATTGTTCACTGGAATACTTGACTCTTCAGAACTAACCAGTTAATGGGTGTTTGCTCTCTACTCATCTTGACCAGCACAAGTTTAAGGAAGCATTTTTTTTCCATCCATTTATATTGAAAGCATTTTCAAAACCTCGGTTTTAGTTTGTAATATGACATATAAATAGAGAAGCTGAAACTGGCACCCATTTTTAGGTCCCTTTCAGGAAGCACCTCTCTGTTGCAGGGAGATGGGCCTTTATTTCTCAATCAACGTTGCATGCCTGGCCTTTAAATAAATAATACTGGAAATGTTTTAAGTAAAAGCCCTTGTTTTAGCGCTGTTTCAAGGGCAGGGAACAACAGTTAAGGAATGCATTGAATGTTGAAACAAAGAGTTATAATACTTTGCATGGGGTGTGCCTCACTAGCACAGAATTGCCTTATTAATATGAAATGAGGATAGTGAGGCTTTTGTTAGATATGCACTTCAAGTTTCTCCACATAATAATCCCAAGGAGACAGTCACTTGTTCGGATGATTTTAGGAGCACATGGTGAAGTAGATGTTCACTCATATTTGAAGCATTCACCACGTCTCTGTGTCGAAGATGATGTGAAACTGCTTGCTAACTCCATAACAGTAATGGCTGAAAAACATTGTGAATTTTTAAAAAATACCATGGGCCCAAGCTCTACATTCCCCCACCACCTGTACTATTAGCACTGACTTTTTCTTTCCCAGAAAAGTTTCATGGTGTCTGTGCTAGAGTTTGTAACTAGTAGCAGGAGACATGTTTTCAAGATACTGTTTAGACACTATAACCCATGGCTGCCTCTCTGTCAGAAAGGAGAAATTTTGCATCAGTTGACCTCTTGGCAGTGGAAGCAAGTCACTGAAGTTATCAATCCAAATAACAAACAGCACATTGTGTGATGCTTGGGACAAAGTGTGTGCCGTGGAAAAGGGCTGTGAGAGACTACTGAAAGCTGACCAAAACCTGGCTCATCTGGAAACCCCGCTTTTCACCCACACATGTCTGTACATGGATGTGCTCAGGGTTCTCTCACTGATGACCTTTCCCTTCTCTTCTGTGGACAGGCGTAGTGTTCCCTTACTTTCCACGGCTGGGACGCTACAATCTCAACTTTCACGAGGCGCGGCAGGCTTGTTTGGACCAGGATGCTGTGATCGCGTCCTTCGACCAGCTGTACGATGCCTGGCGGGGTGGACTGGACTGGTGCAATGCTGGTTGGCTCAGTGACGGATCTGTGCAGTACCCTATCACCAAACCCCGCGAGCCCTGTGGGGGCCAGAACACAGTGCCTGGCGTCAGGAACTACGGGTTTTGGGACAAAGATAAAAGCAGATACGATGTTTTCTGTTTTACATCCAACTTCAATGGTAAGATGAGATGGTAGCTACGCTGCCTTCCTTTCTATTCCAAAGAACAAGTTGTCTTAAAACACTGTTTGGATCTGGGTGATAACTTCAAAAAACAAAACAAAACAACAATAATAAAAACCAACCATTTAAGGTATTGCTATATTTTAAAAGGATAGATAAAATGTTCTTGAATCTTGAATGTCATCATTTTTTAACTGCCTACATAAATCGGAAAAAAAAAAAAAGGCCTACCTCTGGTCCTCCTACACTTTATCCATCCTGTTTTTATGAAGCACTTGAAGCTGTCATGTGGTACACATTTCACATCGCCTCAGGATGCTATCCCTGCACCATTACTCTATGCTGAAGGAAGGAGCTTTCCTGCCATACATGCCCTCCCTTGCCCAGTCACAATATTACGATCAGCAAAGTTCAGGCCAAAGGAGGAACTGAGTGAGACAAAGGAAGCCCTGTCAGCATTGGAAGAGAAAGGTGGGGGAAGGTTCCATGGCACGATGACTGACTTTTGCATTCTTCCCACTCCCAGCCCTTTGGGTGTGCTGTCTTCGAGACCTACCACAAAATGAAAATGTAGGAGCCTTGGTTCAAAATTTATTAATAATAGCACAAGCCTGTAATCCTATCATTTGGTAGGCTGAGGCAGGAGGATCGTAAATTCAAGGCTAGCCTGAGCTATTTAGTGACACTGTCTCAAATAAACAAGGGTAAAACCCAAAAACACCAGAAGTGTTGTAAGACTACAGAGCATTAAGACAGACATAAGACCTTCTATTTAGCCAGAACAAATGCACAAGTCACATGCCTGTGAATCAAGCTCTGAGCCCAGAGTTTTGCATTTAGGGTCCTTGGAAACAGATTCAGAGGGAAACAAAAAGAAATGGGTGGTCACTATGCTATCTCTGTTGAAAGAAAGAAAGAAAGAAAGAAAGAAAGAAAGAAAGAAAGAAAGAAAGAAAGAAAGAAAGAAAGCAGATGGGAAGCCATTTTACTTTGCTGACCACGTGGTCACTGTTGCACAGCAGAGTTTTGAATGTTGTAGCTCTCGCCATCGCAGTACTGAAGCCATTCATGGTGCTGAACAGATGGATATGTGTCCCAGGCAAACTGCATTCTCACACATGTAGAGGTCAGACTTGAACTGATGCACTGTGGTTTGCTGATTTGCACAGCTGGAAGACTAAACTCTCCAGTTAATGAAGGTTGCTGTGGCTTCTCTGCTTATTCCAGATCTCATTAGCTTAGGGTAGAAAGAACTGGTAGCATTAGTGTAGGCTTTGACCGCCTGTTTAGGAATGGGGAGAGATCTCAGTTGTGAAGCACTTGCCTCCCAAACAGAAAGAACTGTGTTCAGTCCTGAGAACTCACACTAAAATGCCAGATGTGCTGCTGGGCTGTACTTACAACCCCAGCAATGGCGAATCAGGAACAAGGGGATCCTTGGGACTCACTGGACAGCTAGGCTAGTGTAATGAGAGGCCCCATATCAAAAGATGTAGACCCCATTTCTGAGTATGACACCAGGGTTGTGCGGCCACATGCATGCAATCAAAACCATAAACAAATGAGCACATGCACGTGTACACACACACACACACACACACACACACACACCACACGAGCATCATGCTAAATGAAGGCCAGTGGACATTATACTACATGATGTGTCTGATAAGAAAGTATGATATTATACTTGAAACTAGCATGACTGAGAGAATATTCAGTGTGTGCCGCTTCAGTCAGTTGGGGATACATTTTGTACATGTTATCATATTCCGTCATGCTAATGGGATCTCAGTAACTAATACTGCAGTAAGTGGTTGAAAGTAGCAGTGTCCCTATGTAATGAAGAATCAGCATGATGTCAGGCTTCAAATGATGGAAGTTTTAAAACATCAACAAACCTAGTAAGGGAGTACAGGCCGGGTTTGCATTCAGTGAGAGTATCATTGATGGCGAATGACTTCCTGTGTTTGATGCATTTTTATGCATCAGGCTTTGGTTGAGAATAAGGTCTTATTGATACCTGTAATGAAAAGAACTTGAGGGCTTTTGATTTTCTTAAATGGACTTTTATGTCAGGAATGCTTTTTGATCCTTTCACATTCAAATTTTGCCTCTCTAGAAACTTGTACTGGGGTTCAGTCTTGCAACAAGTAGAATTTAAATAGCCCTTCTTTTCAGCGTGGTATTCTGTCTTCCCTAGAACTACAGAAGGGCTCTTTTAGTCTCTAATTAGCTAACAGAAACTGCATCTGCCATTGGACTTTTCTTTTTAATGCTGTATAAGGGCATGTGGGCGCACACGCCAAGAAGCAAGGGGGAAGTGAATTTATCTAGAGTGACCTATTAATATGACATTTAGATGGCAATGCTGTGTTCTCCAAATTTGAGACGTTGCTCAGCATCTCCTGTCATTGAGAAGCACTTGGTCTTGGCTCCTTCCTTCTCCGTGGTTCTGTCACAGGCTGACTCTCTCTCTCCTTCTCTCCACAGGCCGATTTTACTACCTGATCCACCCCACCAAGCTCACTTACGACGAGGCGGTGCAAGCTTGTCTCAATGACGGTGCTCAGATTGCAAAAGTGGGCCAGATATTTGCTGCCTGGAAGCTTCTGGGCTATGACCGCTGTGATGCTGGCTGGCTGGCCGATGGCAGCGTCCGCTACCCTATTTCTCGGCCAAGAAGGCGCTGCAGTCCTACAGAGGCTGCCGTGCGCTTCGTGGGCTTCCCGGATAAAAAGCATAAGCTGTACGGGGTCTATTGCTTCAGAGCATACAACTGATGGTGCCCTAGAAAAGAGTCGGTTCTTGAGTCAGAGGGAACGCGTGAAAGGTCTTTTGTTTTTGTTCTTGTTTTTAATATGAACTCATGCAAGTTACCAAAACTGTGATAACCCTTTTCCACTTACTGTAAAGTGTCGTTTTTATAAGGCCAGATCAGTCATTTGTTTTGTAAAGCTATCAGTCAATGTATATTATAAATTAATATAAGTATAAGGGAAGCTAAAAACGGGCGTCAGGGCCTGTGTTACGTATGCTACATCATCCCAATAAAATGCCATTTCATGAACGGGGCATGCAGTAGGCTGAGGATAACCAGGATTGTGTTAGGGAAAATCAGCAGCGACTTCCACAAGCACAAATTTTACATATTTCTACAACTTTGAAATGCATTTCGCTGAACAAATTAGAACAACAAATTTGAATTACAGGCCTCTTTACAGAAACTGGGATTCTGGGAGGTAAAAAAAAAAAAAAACCTCAGTTTCACAAGGGAACAATGGACACTTTTTCTAAAAGTTAATACTCCAAGTCTCCAGTATAAAAAATAGTTTACTATTTAAAATTCTACCTTTTTGACTAAAAAGAAAACCATATAGACTCAGATACATAATAATAAAACCGCAGTTAGAACTCCTAGGGCAACCCATTTACATGAAGTATATAGACTTACATACACAGATAATATTTTACCAATGAGAGATTGCTACCTTCTAATTAAGATTACCTATCAGAAAGAATTGTTCTATCATTTTTGAGTAGCTTCACTGAGTTATATTTAAATTCTAAGGGATCTTTGCTAAGCGGTATTTAGAATTTACTCAGGGCAGTTAAAAAGATAAACTGCTGGACAGAAAACATATAAAAATGTAGCAGCTTGATTTTATGTTAGCTTATGAAACATTATTGTCCTATAAAAATAACTTTAACCTATTTAATATTTCTTTCTTATTTACATTCCATAATGAAAATCATCCAATGAATGAATAACTCTACACTTCTTTAACTAAGAAATCAAGATTCAACTTCCAAAATTGTGTTCTTGTTTGTATACATAATACAAACCCCAAATAGGACCTGTGTTTAGGAGGGAAAATTTAAAAAAAAAAAAAAGGCTCTCCAATAGAAAATATAGTCACTGTCAGTTTCCTTTCTGGTTTTCATTTGGCAGAAACAAAATACTGGCACTCACATTGAAGACTTTACACCTTCAAGCTTTAAGCGAACAGTTAAGTCCAAACTCAGAACAATGACTTTCAGTATTAGCAACTCCAATCTTAAATAAAGCTTTCTTTTTATGACTTCTGAGACCTCACAGGGACCAAAATTTGTATTCAAGTAATTTTCCGATTTCCCCTTGTTTCACAGTGAATTCTGGTGAGTGGACCTTAGTATAACAATCCAAGTGCAAGCACAGCTGGTGTGCTGTCGACAATGTTTTCAATGTAGATTCCCCCTCCCATCCCCCCACCCCCCCAACGAACATGAGTAAATAAATCTGTTTCCTGAATTGACCGTGGTTGCATTTAAAGCTCTGTAATAACTGTAATAAATTTGCTCTATAAATATAGAGGCATGTGTATGGAAGGTATAGAGCAGTCGGAAGTCCATGGAACCATAACTATCATGATATAGTATCTAGATAAAATACTGTAAGTAAAACTAGCTCCTTTCTTTCAGATGCTTTAGCCTTAGAGCATGAGGATACAGTTTTAAGTTAGGATATGCAAATTACATAAGACTATAAATCCAAAGAGATGAGGAGACTTCAGGCCAACACTGCTGATTGAACTCAGACTTCTAAGCTAAACACAAGTTAAAGATACCGAATGGTCTAGAATATAATGAATATATTATTTAAGAAGGAGACTCTGACCAGCTCATGGTCAGGGCTAAGCTCTTTGGAGGAAGACCATACTTGAACAATCATTACCTATATTTTAAGAATTTTGTCTGAAATGCAAGTAGGAAAATTTTATGGTGAAGTGGGTATATTCCTCTCAGTTAGCATCATAGAACTAAACATTTAAGCACAGGAGCATTTCTTAACTTTTGAATACTTAGTATAGGAAACGGTGCTGATCAAAATCTCCAAAGTGACTGTTAGCTGACTTACATCTATACCAACTGCTTATCATTGTCCGTTCTTGAAAAAAAATCCTCGAATGAACACTGCTGGGCAGAGTTTTTAACTTCTGATGTCACACAAAGGACCAGAACCCTGTGCCCTCTGAACTCCTCATTGAAAAGGGGTCTTTTAATGTTCTCATCTCACTGTTTTATTCCACCAAATATCTATTTTCATACTTCGTATCTCATTATGAATGTTTTCAAGAGAAAAAAAAAGTCTTAGCACATTTCCTAGCAGAAAGCTGACATAACACTGTCTAATTTAGAAATTACTTTGTAGATTTCAAGGTTCCCAGAGTATCAAAGGAAGATGATAGATTACAAAATGTTTCCATCATATTTTATCTTATGGCCCATATAAAGAACAGATTATATCTACACATTTTACTGAGATTCCCTCCTTCCATTTGAAAACTCTAAGCCAAAAAGAACCAATTCACATAAAAATACAATACAGGGATGAAGAGAAGTCGTCATGTTAACACTGGAAGCCATCTTTTAATGACTGCTGCCATATTTTGTCACAGCAACTTTTAGCCAAATGTAGTATTTGTAAATTTAAAATTTCTTTCATATCAAGGGGGCCGGCACCTGTTAGTGTTGTTTTATGCAGTACAATGGTTGCTTGCTATTGTGGCAATTAGTAGACTCAAATAAGATTCCAATTTGGTTGCTGGCAGCCATACTGGGTTTCTTGACTTCAGTACTCCTAGAAACACACTTTTGTCATGGAGTAGCTGACCACTACAGAAAGGGAGGATTAGAAGGGAATCAGTCATCAGGTTTGGTTTAACTTGGTTTTTTTTTTTCTTTTATTTGTGTCATTTTGGTTTTGCATAGAATACTTAGAGAAAAATCAATGGACAGCTGACAATTTTTTTTGAGAAGTTAACGGTGTCATAGCTCATGACTGCCAGAAAAGGACTATACAAAAAAGTTATAAATAATACAGAAATCATTAAGCAACCCAATTAGAAGAAAAGTCAATATTTAAATTCGTTCAGTAGCTACAAAGTGCAAGTCTGAGGAGAACCAATCTGTACTACAAAAAGACTGTTTTCATTTTCTGTAAGATAAAATGAACTGGTAACAAACATTAAAAGTCAATTTTGCTTCACTACAGTATTATTTGATTCTTCTGACTCAAATAGACTCAGCCATTTTTCTTTGGGTTAAACCTGGTATATATATCATGAAATGGTCTGTTGTTGATGCAATGCTTTGACTGAAAGCACACCAGTAAGTTAGAGCTTTGATATTCGAGCATTAAAGAATACTTCAGAACTTCCCATACTTATCTGGAATACATTAAGCAGCCTTGAAGAAAAACAATTTCTAAAAGAGAGGTCAATCAAATCTCCTTTTAGTGTGTAAAATCTTTTCAAATGAGGGGTATCGTTTTCATTCTGTCATTGTTTTTCATATATTTTTAATCTTGTTATAAACAAAGTCTTGAGTCAGGGTGAAAGATCCTATGGAGGTCCTTAGTCCCCAAATAAAAGTAGTTAAACCATTCAAGTGTGATGTGTTACTTCTCTACCAAGAGCATGGCTTAATACTACAACCAGATATATAAGGAGGCTAATAAGAGGGAGGGATTATTGACTGGCATGTAGCCTACTGAATTTAAGAAGAAACTGACATACTGCTGCCTTCTACTTCAATTCTTCGGTCTCTTCATTTCCGATCTTTAAAGGCTCTATAGCCTTACTTCTCAGTAGCTGACATATATATATATATATATATATATATATATATATATATATATATATATATATAGAGAGAGAGAGAGAGAGAGAGAGAGAGAGAGAGAATTTTATTTGATTCATGTTCCAAACTTATGGGAAAATTTTCCTTGCACATGTTATTTTTCTACAAGCAACAATCTTCAAATTTGTTTCAATGATTTTTTTTTATATCCAGTTTTCAGACCAGTAAGTTGTTACCCCCATAACCACTCACCTTCTGAACATGTTGGCAGGTCAGGGTGGAAGTCAATGGTTCATAAAGTCATGAAACTTTCCTTCCTTCCAACTATCTCTACTACTCTTGCCCTCTGAGGTCGTCCACACTGCTCAAGCTTCAGCTATTAAAAGCCAGCTCTTTCACGTAGTAGATACCTGATTATACCATCACTGTTGATTTGGGAGAGTATCCTCAAGGTGAAGACAATGCTCAACTTCTCCTCTGTCTAGTAATTAAAACATTGGATGATAATAGTTTGTGACAATATTAATCCCAATGCATTTCTATCCAAGGAAAGAACCTAGAAACCATGTCTTTATTCCACTGAAAAATATTTTCTTCTTGTAAAAAAAAGTCTCTTAGAGTTTCTATCAATGGAAATTTTTGCCAAAATGCCTATATTTAGAGAACAGAAAAAGATTTTTAAAGCAAGTACGTTTGAGGGCTCACAGACTATGAAAGCCCTGCCTTCAAAGATAGTGAGAATCTTGTGTGTGAATCTAAAAGCAGAGCTACAGAAACACTCATCATCATTTATTATTCTGATAAAAAAAAAGCACACCTTCAGACACCTTTCCACACTCAGGGACAGACAGTCTTTAGTGGTTCCCTTTGTGCTTGGGTTCTGCCAAGCAAGGCATCCTTACTTTATTGGAAGAAGCTTGCTTCTGTGATGGGAGCCAATTTCAAATGGCTGAATAATGAGTTCTGTTCTCCTAATAGAATGTTTTTGAAAACTCTTTCTTGGATGGGTATACAGTGCAGTGGAAGAGCACAAACTTAACATGTCTGAGGCCCTGTGTTCAATACTCAGTGCCACTAAGTAACTTGTTTTTTCAGTTCGGTGTCTTGTGCCCAGCATTTGAGAATCACCTGTGTTCATAACTGAAGACAATGGTCAGGCAGCAATCTGTAAATAGGACTTTCTTAATTCCTTAGATACTCAAAGATATGCACTACTATTACTGCTGATAAACGGCCAGCGTATGCAGAAAATATTTCCATTCTTTCTTTATGCAGATAATAAAAATACCAATTTAAAATGTATTTTGTCATTATGATCTCAGTGCAACCACTTAAGTAATAAGTCTGGAAGAAATCAAATCAACATGTTCAGAACATTAACATTTTACTTTGTCTAGGGCTTCCACTACAACAAAAGTGCATTATAAAATAATTAAAGAATTTTAGTGTGCATAGGAATGACCCCCACATATCTGAAGGCTTAGTCATCAGGGCATGGCACTATTGGAAAGTATTAGAAGAAGGATTAGAAGGTGTGGCCTTATTGGAGAAATGTATCACTGGGGGTGGGCTTTGAGGCTTCCATGTCAGGCCACTCTCTCTCTCTTCTTGCTGCCTGCAGATCAGGGAGTAGAGCTCTCAGCTACTTCTACATCACCATGACTGCCATACGTGCTTCCATGTTCCCAACCATGATGATAACAGATTAAATCTCCGAAACTGTAAGCAATCCCCCAATTATATGTTTTCTCTTGTAAGAGTTGTCTTGGTCATGGTGTCTCTTCACAGCAATAGAACAATGACTAACATATTTAGCCATCATGGTATGTTAGAAGCCAATTATGGAGGCATATTATGAACTCTCTGTAGTGTACTATCAAACATGTTCCTCACAATAACTTACCCTCTTTTCAACGTGGTGCTGGTTAACAGGAGTCCAAACAGTTCTTGTCAAATAGTCAAAATCTGAATCTTTGTGATAGTCATACTCCCACTAACAAAAACAATCTGTTCCTGACAATGTATTTTTCAAAAAACACAAAAAACCAAAACTCTTCACAAATATACATTTGTTGAAAAACCAAATACGGTGTAGTTATGACACATATGTTCCTTTAGAAGTGTGTGCATTGGGAAGACTAGTTGACATTTCTTAAAGCATAAGACCAATGACACTTGGACCAAACATAGTCTGTTTTGGCTTAGCAAATCTCTCCGTGGCCAGTGAAATCTTCGCTGATCAGAGAGCTTCTCTCTAGTCTTCAAAGTTAGAGTCAATATCTTAAAATTCTTCACTATCAGCCTCATACATTTTTTTTTTGAAACAGGATCTCACCACGCAGTACCAGCTGGTCTGGAACAATATGTAGACCAGGAGAGTCTTAAACTCATAGAGATCCACCTGCCTCTGCTTGCCAGTGTGGGGATAAAAGGTGTGGGCCACCATGTTCTGCAGTTTGCACTATCTTCAAGAGATTCTGTGACGCAGCCCAGAGCCTGTGTCGGTGTGCGTTAATAGAAGTATTTTTTTTTATTAATTATGAAAACTGAACTTATTTATTCATGCTTTTAGGTCTGAATTTGTTGTCTGCCGAATTCTTACAAACTGAAGGTCAACTATGTTCTGACATAGGACCCAGTCCCTTGGGTTCCGGTCCATGACATAGAAACACATAAGAGCTTAGATAAGGGCTATCCACCTCCTTCAGCAGTTCTAGCAGAACATGTGGTCCCTTCAGTAGGACATGAATACAGTTCTACCAATGGAAGTTAGCCACATGACATTATCAGAGTAAGTTAAAATCTGTTTTACAGGTATGGCTTAGTGTCGAGGAAAGAGTTCTCAGTCAATTACTAACAATAATCTGCATCTTTCTACTTCCCCTCCCCCAGGAAAAATAAAATATCGTGGAGCATGGGCTCAAAAGATATCTATTCATTAGCCCTTGTTAAGCAACTCTGAATAGTCTGTTACTATTTTATGTCCCAATTTAAAAGTCATTCAAGTTCAAAGTATTTTCAGTAATAAAGATGTTCAAGATCCCTGGTGAGTTTGTTGCTGAACCAGATGGCTGGCAAATATGCAGAGTTCCACCTAATCTAACTTCTTATCTTAAAATAATTGAGTTTTTCCTCTTCAAAGCCTGCAAAGGTAAGCAAGCTGTGTATGGAGAAAATGGTACTGACACTTGCTAGTGTTTCATCAAGTGATTTGATGTGAGTCAGTCTTGGTCAATGTGGGAGGAAATCATGGATCACAAGACTTCCAAACCCACTGGCGATCTCCACTCTGCTAAAAAATGGCTGTTGAGTATGTAATCTGTCCTACTGGAAATGCTGAGAGCCCACAAATACTTAAAAACTACCAACTTCCAGATTTGGTTCACATAGTTTTTGATTGCTCTTGTCAGGTGCATCTTTCTGAAGTTCTCAAACTATTTTCTGCCATTTCACACACAAAAACAAAAACAAAACACAGCCATACAATGTAGAGATTCATGATGTAGTCCAATAATATTGTGAAGTATATGTTTGTGTTTCTTATCAAATACAGAATGTATTCATTCACACTCTTACAAGTTTTCATCTCCCCTACAAACCCAAGGGCAGACTCAAAAGTCACCCATATGGAGGCTGAAAATTAAAGCTAACATACATAACTCTTTCACATCCCTATAGTCTAAAAAAGCTTGAGATACGTGTTCCCAAAAAGACATCACTGCTCTCCAAAAGCAGAAAATGATGCAGTAGGTAAGAAAAAAGAGGATGGGAGCTGTGATAAAGACAGCAGATGAGAAAGAATGAGTGAACTTATGCAAGCAGAAGCCATCTGTGCACAACAATGTGCTGTTCCTGAGTAAGCACAGAATTTATATCCTACCTGGAGCACCATTGGTGAGCATCCAGACCTGTGCCTGTCCATCACCCACCCACTGGTCGGTACCTTGAGAAGCTTCTAATCCTATTACCCGATATATCCAGAAGGGAAGAAATGTGTAGTTGTCGAAGAAGGAAAGCCCCTTCTCTGAATAACTTATACAGAATCAGAAATACGAGGGACCACAATCCCTTCTTAAATTCTCTTTCTCTTTGTACACATTCTGTTAGCAAACAATAAAAGTGTGGTACCTACATTCCAAAAGAAAGACTCAGAACCTAGGGGTTGGTGGTTTAGCTCAGTGGTAGAGCGCTAAGGCCCTGGGTTTGGTCCTCAGCTGGGGGGAGGGGTACTCAGAATCTGATAAATTCAGTTACTGGTTGAAAATCATCTACTTTGGAATTCATATAATATAGCAAAATTTGGGTTTAATTTTCTTTACAAATACAATCAAATCTGACAAGCATGTGACTGAAACAATATTATATGCTAAATATTAAAGATGATGTTATAGCTGTGATAACCTGAGAATAAAAACACTGAACTCCCATATCCCCTCAAAATTCCTGTAAATCAATGACTCTACACTGAAATACTGCTTTTCAGTGTTTCCTAGTGGTCCTTGCCACCAGAAATAGCCAAAGAATTGGAAAATGTTTTTCCCCATAGTTTCACTTCTCACTGGAACCAGAAAGCTATCCAGTTCTACTGGAGTTCAGTTCCAGTTCAAAAGCTCAGGGACCATTTTCTCTCTTGCCTAGCCTCCATTCATGTGATGTTAGCCAGATTAAAAGTGATAAAGGAATGTTATCACTATGGTGCCCATGTACAGCACATAACCATGCCATCATTGTCTCCTGGTTTAATTCTCTCAGGCTCGAGAGATGAGAACAGTAGCCTGAAAATCCTAGATAACCTGAACACAA